AATGTTGTTTCTTCTTGCTTTATTGAAGTGAGAGAACGATCGGTGCACCCTCTGCCTAGGTATAACTTATTCCAATCTAGAAGGTAAGAAACGGTACGGTTGCGAGCTGCCTGGATACACTTGCTGACATAGAAAGGAGCCTAACTCAATGGCTTTTGTGTTATGAATTTCGTTGTCCCCTCTCCTCCCAGTTAGCTTCCCCCTACAACAACGACCTCATTCCCAATGCATAAGATCGCATTTAACATCATAATACTTTTTTAATTTTCAGTCTGTAATGTCTAATATCATTTTATGTTGCGAAACCTTAGCTGAGGTGCGTTTCTCACCCCCAGCTAACGTGATGATGTCTGGTAAGGTCCCAAGCTAAGTGCAGAGTAAGTCAGGTTGACCCCAGTCTGGAAAACAGAAAGAAAGAAGCATCAGTAGTACGCCGGTACGCAGTAACGACGCTTCGCTGTCATGCAACCACCGCCGGTCGCACGTGGGCTAAGGTTACTGCGTGTCGCCCTGCCCTTACGCAGGCTCAAAACCGCGCCATAAGAGTAAAAGACAAGCTCGTTACTTCTAGGCCTGTCTGGAGAGTGAAATGAATCAACAGCACACAAACTACTGGTGGTTTCGTTCCCAGTAGCTAACTAGGCGATTACCTACACTGAAACTTATGCCAATTAGGAGTAAAAAATGGACTGACTTTTCATGATAACAAGGGAGAAGGAGTAGACAGTGTTTGTTCGAGCCAGCGTAGCTCATATGGTCTAACTTGCTGAGTTAGCGAAATGGACAAATTAGCATCATTCAACGAGAACACACCGGCGCAGCTCAACAAGAACAATGTGCTGCAGGCCGCAACAGCTAATGACAAGATGATGCGTGAGGTTTTCAGAAAGAAGCGGCCAAATCTAACTCAAGTGTGGTAGAGCGGTTTTAAGTTCGGTATGCAAAAAGATACCTACAAAATCAGGGGAAATCAACTATGGCAATCAAAGTTGCCAGAGATACGTAAAGGCATTTTTAGGATTCTCGATGTGTGAGTTGTCTCCAGGAATCAAACGTCTGCCGGTGGCCGAAAGGATTGCGTGTTTGTGTTGTAACCCTAAGATGGCCGGTTCGACTCCGCGTACATACCAGCGACCTGGCGTGGAAGCGAAACGTCGGTAAGATGCGTCGGCGTACTGTTGATGCCAGAAAGCATACGTCCGCCGCTGCTGATTCAACTGCCCAAACAAACAAACTGACAAAAGATCTCGTTTCTTGTCATTAAGAGTTAAAGAGCTAGAAATTGGCTAGCGGTTCTGCTCCATTACTCTAGACATTGAAAGTGCGAGGTGCATGCAAAATAACGAGACCAACGAAAGGAGTTTGTTCAAGGTTGATCATAACGTTATGAAACCATCAAACAGCAGAACAAGGTTATTCGTGTAAACAAGTGGATCAAGGGGTTTACTATCGGGCTGTACCTACATGGCTTCCTATTGAGAATGCATAAGATAAATATCCATGGTGGGTTCCATAAAACTTCTGCTATCGGAGAGACAACCGAGGATTCGCCGTAGACCTTAATACGACCTGAGGTGTCCGGGTGAAGTGTACACATAATTTTAAGATATTCCGTGGAGACACTTCTGTGGGACAGCAAATAGAATAGAAGTACGCAAGCGAATGTGTTGAACGTACTCTTGTATCCGAGGAACACAGCTGCGGTAAGCCATTGTTGTACGTGATACAGGTTCATATGCTGATGTAGAGATAAAATGGCATTGGCAGTAAGCCGGCACACCATACAAGGTAGAGGTTTAATCCTTTCGGACACCGGTCGAGGTAGATATATTACAACCTATGACGCTCCACCTCGGACAGAAACCTACATGCCCCCTACTCACCCGGGCTTTCAGCTTTGCAGTGAAGCAGTGCGTTAGAATGCAGGCCAGTAACTTAATCACATCAGTAATTGACTAATAATCACTTGGTTAGAAAAAGCGGTGCAACCGCTCTTCTTGAGCAACGTCACTGCGACAGATTCGTGACAATACTGTGGTTATGACAATACCATCCATCCGTAATTGTTCGAACAAGATGGTCTGCTCTTCGCCAGACCTTCACATTGTCCTTAATTAATGAGCAAAAGAGGAAATCAAGAGCGGCAGTCCGAAATCGCTAAGAGCAAAGATCGCGTTACGAACATCAGGTTCGGCTGCAGCATCTAGGTTGGCCGACTAAGGTTTAACTAATCACGTAAACACGAGCCAGTTAACAAAAAGGAGACTAACAGAATTGTCAATGAGGCACTCCGTCAAACCATCAAAACGATGCTGCTATTGTCTGTCCAACTCCTGAATGGATTAACTGGAAGTCTACAGAAGTTGATCGCCGTGGAGTCCGTTTTAAGGAATAAGGAGCCATCTCATTCCAACCCCCAACCTGGAGGACCAGGAGGCTGAGTTTATCTGACCTCTAATCATTGACCAATCTGGTATGAGTGGCTCTGAAGGTTCAAAAAAAGCCCCACCCAGCATAGCTCAATGGATCGCTGAGGCAGACAAACCATCGCAAAAACTGTCAGGTTCAGCCTCATGTCTGACATTTCTTAGCATCCTCGTACATGGAAATGTTGCAGAGCAGCGTCATTCCGCAGCTACAGTCGGAAAGGTTAATGAATAACGTTCGGTGGCAACAGGATAGCGCACTGTACATTCGGTGCAATCGGTTAGTGCCTACCTGAAGGAGGCATTTGGTGGACATTGGATCGGTTGCGGGGAACCGCTAGAATGGCCTGCGCGATCACCGGATTTGAAGCTCACGGACTTCTTTCTACGGGGATACATTCGGTTCGTCTGTCTTGTCTTCATCATCATCATCATCAACAGCAGTACATCAGCCATGTGAACTGATGCTTCGCTGCCATACAACCATGAGGACCTATGAAATAAAGAATAAGAAATGGGAGAGAAGGGGTGCTTACCTGAAAAACTTAATGCCCTAATCAAACATTCGGTGTCAAGGCGCCTACACTTTGTGTAGACAACATACCGTCACAAACAGCTGGCTATCGTGCAAAGATAAGGCGGCATCGGCGAGACAGCTTCCTTGCGGCTTTCACTGCCACGCGTCATAATCAGCCATTACCCCGCACATAACTCAGCACCAAACATACTTTAAACAGGCAATCCGATTAGGAGACGGCAGCACACGCGCCACTGGTGTCTACTGCGAGCCATGTCCTGTAAAGTCTCGAGCCAAGCACAAGCCAAGTCATGTAGACTCCAGCCCGGAAGGCGAGAAGGACCAACGGCACCCAGTTTGGTCGTCAGTGACTTCATTTCCCGCTGCCAAGTCAACTTCTGTCCACCTCGAGCCTTGTGCCACCCTACACCTGGCAGACTAAACAAGGCCCTCCTAGGTAAGCGGTGATCAGGCATACGCAGCACGTGCCCGAGCCAACGCAACTTATTCAGTGCTATCTGTTGTTCTAAGGAACTAGCATGCTTATCGCTACCCAGTACTCGCCTACGCACATCATCGTTGCGCACACGCTGGTGCCATCCGACACCAGCAATGCTTCGCAAACAACGATGATCAAAGACTTGAAGGCGCCTCAGATCTTCAGACCGAAGGGGCCAAGTCTCACTACCATAGAGCAGAACGACCCTCACTGTGGCCTTATATACACGGCCTTTCAGACAGAGGGAAACTCCCTTCCGTCGCCAAAGATGACGCAGGTCCAAGAAGGCAGCTCTGGCCTTGGCAATGCGTGAGCTCACGTAAGTTTCTATGCGCCCATCATTGCTGATGCAGTTGCCAAGATAAGTGAAAAGATCAACCGCCTCTTGTCTTGTCTTGGACATATATGGATTGGATTTTAAGTGAAAATCCATCTCATGTAGGTTGGGTTCTCCAGAATAGTCCGGCAGTAAGGGTAGATGTTCCAAGCATGTTCGTCAATTTCCAAGGAACTCTTTGGAGCCAGGACGCGTACGTAGACGAGAATTTTGTTGACCAGATGGAACCTCTTGTGTGTGTACCGGCCAGTTTCAAATGATTGTACCAGTGCGGTTAGTGGCGGAGAGGGCGTGTGAAGTTCATCATCAAACGGTTCATTCGCCAACACTTCCATACCCTCACCGGCCGTGGCCACCTATTTCATCATGTGAGCCGTTCAAATTCGCCGTATTTCATCGTCAGCTCGCAGGCCATGTTGCAAGGAGTCCAAGGCAACCCGTCAGACCTCAATGAGGTCGGTGCCATCGGGGATTCTTCCTTCCACTCTCAGAAGCCCCAATGTATCCTTCGTTGAACACCGATAGTGATGTAACATGACTGGCAAGACGATGGAAGTCCTATTTCACTGATAATGGAATTGTTAAAGGTAACAAAGAGCAAGTTCAGAGAGTCGGACATTCTATTCTACCCAACAGCCAAGAGAGCTTGTCGGTTATCATTTGTAGCGCTACCCAGTGAATTTTAATGGAAGGCGGCAGCGTACCAGTGAACCAACAAAATCAACGCGCAGATTCGAATAAGAGTGGCATTCAATGATTGAAAGCTTGGAAGTACGGAAGATTAGTGATAGGAATTGGAATCAGTGGATAAGAAATACGTTGAAAAGGAGGCAGCAAAAGTATCCTACTTGTGTCTATATACCTAGCCATACGTACAGGATAAAACGCCCCCTTTGGCACTGTGCAATGGTCGATGAAAGTCAAGGTCGGAGAAAGTAAAGACTTTATGTGGGCTGAGATACAATCACCAAAGAGATCAAGATCCCTTATGAAAAACGCACGAACATAAGGAAACGGAAACACGGCAATGGTATGTAAGGTACGCAATCTTGACTGAAATTAGTGCCGCTTTGCTTTCAATTATCCACTTGGGAGACAAAAAGACTGTATTTATCTGACCTCTAACGACTGACCAAGTCTGTGGGAGAAACTCGGAACGGTCTAATGGCAGCAACTAGCAGTGTTACATCAAGTTAGAAAAAAGCTTGACGAATGACTTACCGGTACCTACGATTAGGCAGTCCACGTCACCAGGGAAATCCATAAAATGTAAAGCTTTAACGGATCCACGTATAAGATGAAATAACTCCTGCAGCTAAAATAAGTATACGAAATGAGGATATAACATAATCAGAGGTGTTATTACAAAGAAACCGTGTAAAGTTACTTACATATATATCACAATCTGTGTATAGATATTGTTCCATTGGAAACATGACGGAATAGGAAAACAGAATTAGAATAAAAAAGAAAGAAAACGGCGATTTTTTGTCCATTTTCCCACTCACAGTGTTTGAGATTTTTTGGTGTTTTCATTGGGAGAGGGAAGGGGAAACACTATAAGAAGCAAAGGTACACGACCGCCACTGAGTTCAGTTTTGAGCCATGACTTCCAAGGTTTCCAGCCAGCGGCACTCAGCATCTTTAGGACCCCATCCAGGGAGTAGAGAAGAACCAACCGAGGCTAGCTGTTTTGTCAGCTTTGTTATCACGTTTCTCCTAATTGTAGGCTGCCCACCACACCGCCTTTTCTAGCCCTGGCCAGCAAGCGCGAACAAAGTACGACGCGGAAGACGCTGAACGGGCAAGCGCAGTACGTGTAAAGTGACACAGATGCCAAATCAATGCCAAAAGTAAAAAGACCAAGTGAATGTGGAATAAGGGTAAGTTATTTAGAAGAAAGTAAGGTATTTAGGCATTAGTAGCACGAAAGCACGTTGTGCCGACGCTCCACTGCAACTTGACTACCAACAGTCGCAGTTATCATCAGCAAGCTAACCTACTTGTTCTCCAAAATCTGGCAGGAGTAAAAGGTACCTTCTTCCTGAACTGAGTAAGACATTATCCCGACTTTTAAGAAAGGTGCTCGCACTTCTTGCGCTGATTACCATGGGGTTAATCTCAGTTCGGTTTCTTTCAAACTAATGGCATCTATTCTCTTTCGTAACTTGCCTCTGGTGTTCTACACAGTGAAAGCCAGATTCGAGAGTATTAAATTAGGTTTCGTTGAAATCGAGACTGCACTGACCAGATCGTCACTTTACATCAGTTGTTGGAACACTACCATATGTATTGGCCATTCACCGTAGTCGTGTTTATCGGCATAAACACACACATACAAACACACTATACACGTTAGCTAGAGGTGGGAAACACCTCAGCTACTGTGCCGCAATACACAGAAAAAAGGAAATAAAATGCAACAGGTGCAAGTCAGCTGAGCTACCGGTAACGGATGGGCATCGATCCGGTAAGCTACCAGCCGGCTACTATGCATCAAAAAAATTACTATGCAAAATTATATAAGGTTAAATAATGAGACCGTGGTTGGAGGGGGAGGCTAAGAGGGATGGGGTGGGACAAAGAAACTCACAGCACGAACGCCACTGAGGTCGGATCCTAGCCATGTCAGCAAGTGTGTCCAACCAAACGTGTTCATCGTCTTTCGGACCCTAACCAGGGAGCCGAGACGTTCCAACCGAGGCCAGCTCAGAAGTGAGGGCCTTCATTCCTCTGGACCAAGTCATCGCTTGGCCACCCCTCCTCTTCTTCCATCCACACCCCCGGCGCGCAAACAACGCACGTCGCGGGAGTCGGTGGGCTGGCATGCGTAACACGTGGCCGAGCCATCGGAGTCTGGTGCGTGAAATAACGGTGCTGAGCGGTTCAGTTCCTTTTCCGGTGCCGTAAACGAGGCGGCGAACACGCTCATTGCTCACGCGGTGTTCCCACCAGATGTGAGCTAAATTACGAAGACACCGGTGGTCGAACGTAACTAGCCTCTTCAGGTCCGCTGCTTTAAGCGACCAGGTTTCACAACCGTACAGTAGGGTCGAACGTACTGCTGCATTGTACACTCTACCCTTCAGGGCAAGAGTGATGTCGCGCCGGCGCCATAAGTGGCGAAGGTTAGCAAAAGCGCCCCGAGCTTTTGCTATACGATTCGTGATCTCATCTTCAATCCCACGGGCGCTGATACAACTTCCCAGGTAATTGAATTTTTGAATGACTTCTAGCTGATCCCCACCAACGGTCAGCGTAGGGGGCGGTCCAGACCAATCTTGGAGGAACGCTTTGCACTTCGAGGGTGCGAAGCAAAGCCCGAAGTGACGGACAGCTAGTGCTAATCTGTCCAGTGTCGCTTGGCACGTTTGTGAGCTGTCACAGATTAGGGCAATATCATCAGCATACTCTAAGTCAAGAAGTCGTTCTCCTGGGAGCAAATCCACACCTTCTAAGTCGTGCCCTGTAAACGCGATTTCCATGACTTCGTCAACAGCGAAGTTGAAGAGGAAAAGTGACAGCGGGCATCCTTGTCTCACACCGCTGGAGATATTAAAGGGCGACGACAACTTGCCGTAAGCCCTCACTCTGCCCGAGCTACGCGCATATAATGATCGGATAATATTTACATATTTCTCAGGTACACCTTTCCTGAGTAGACAGTCCCAAAATGCAGGTCTATCCACCGAGTCGAATGCACCTTTGATATCGAGGAACACGACAAGGGTGGGCCGCCAATATATATGTGACGGTGCTCCAACAACTGACGCAAGGTGAAGATGTGGTCAATGCAGCCATTACCTCGACGAAATCCAGCTTGCTCTTCACGAATCTGGCTTTCACGAGTGCCAGTCAGTCGGTGAACGATGACAGAGGCAAGCAATTTGGAGGCAATGGAGATCAGACTGATTCCTCTATGGCTGCCGCATTCCGATCGTGAGCCTCCTTTGAAAATTGGGACTATAACGGAGCGGCTCCAATCGGTTGGGACAGTTTCCTGCTCCCACAGTTTGACTAGTAACTCGTGTAAATCATCCACAAGAGCAGGTCCCCCGAATTTGAAGAGGGCTGGGGGAAGGTCATCAGGTCCCGCGGCTTTATTTAACTTCAACAGTTCGATCTCACGTTCGACTTCTGAGCGAGAGGGTGGATCCAAAGGGACAGTCCAGGGAGTGGGGCGATCAGTGGCCGGCGAGAAATCTAACCATTCCGACCGATTAAATTGCCTTTTAAAATGCTCAGCCCAACGCTCTGAGCGTTTTGATAAGTTGTGAACAGGCTGTCCACTCTCGTCACGTATAGTTTCACTAACACCAGGTCTCCTGCTGCCCGTTTCCCGTATCAGACGGAATAACTTACGATGGTTACCAAGGGCAGCGGCCATTTCCATCTCTGATGCACGATGAGACCACCAGGATTCGCGGTCTCTCTTCAGGCTAGCACGAAGTTTTGCCCGGAGCTCTTTGCGAGTTTCATTGTGTTCGCTTCCAGCCGGAATATGCCAGAGAGCATCGATAAGTTCCAGAGACTGTGAAGAGACCCAATGTCCATGTTGGCGATCAGACATACCACATGAGGATTTTCCTGCTGCTAATAACGTCTGGTGAGTATGAGACCAGTGAGCTTCAATTGCATCCAGTGAGCGTTTATCCAACTCGCATGACAGCGTACTTTGATACGCATTCAGAACAGCTGGCTTCGCCAGTTGGCTGGTGTCAGTGCGCTCACTACGTCGTCTTGGGAGTCCGCCAAAACGCATCCGCAGATCAGCACATACAAGTGCATGGTCGGTGTCCACACCTGTGCTCCAAATCGAGCGACAGTTCTGGACGCAGCTTCTCCATCGGTAACTTATCGCAATGTGATCGATTTGCGTCCATAGCTAGTGGGCGCCAAGTCTCCCTCCGGCGGGTGCTGTGTCGGAAATTAGTGCTCGCAAGAAATAAGCGCATCCTCACACAAATGAAGTAACCGCTCACCGTTATCATTACGGGAGCCTACACCATGTTGGCCGCCCAGAGGCAATTCATCAGTGGGTAATTTTCCAACTTGAGCGTTCAGATCCCCAGCCAGCACTAAGGTGTCCGAGCTTCTTCTGTGGTGAAGGAGCTCGTTCAATTGACGATAGAAGTCGTTTTTTACCGAATCATCGCTAGAGTTTGTGGGTGCATGGGCAGCGATGACGAATACACACCTGTTAGTCTCGCGCGACTTCGAAACTTTGAACGAGCCAGCTAATCGGACCGCATACAACCCACTACTGATTGGAATCCAGTCAACCAGAGCAACTTCAGCCCGGGGACTCAGGGCAATACCAACACCGGCTTGGCCGGTACTAGAAGCTGCATCGTCCCCGGATAGGTGCAATGAGAAAGTGCTGCTAGTGTCACCTGAAAGGGGATCGCAAAGTGAGCACAGAGCTCGAGTCTTGCAGGCAGGTCTCCGATAAGCAGCAGACATCGATCGAGTGGGTCTCCAATGTTCGGGCAAGTGCTTTCTGTTGACCGATTTGTAGCAATGTGCCTACATTGAGGCATGCCAATCTGAAGGATGATCGAGGGCTCCAAATGGAAGTCGATGAACTGGGCTTGGCCGCTTGGTTGGACATGGGCTTGTCGACGGGACAGGAATGACGCTCCGCGCTCACATGTGAGTTGAAACTAGAAGGTAAAAGCCTAGCAAAGCAAGGTGGTGGAGGGCCAAGAATCGGGGCGTTGAAAACAGGAGGGATAAAAGTGAAGCTGGAACGGGACGGTAAGAGTGAAAAAGCGTAAGAGGGGGAATAAGAAGATGGGAAGGCCTAAGCAGTAGCATCCAAAACTCTATCCACCCTGTTCGATGCAGTAGATAGGGCACCGTTGATTATCCTCTGCGGTGGCCAGAGCATCAAGAAACTGTTTGAAGAGAAATTCATTTTACTGCGTGGGCAGGATACTGTCAGGTTGCCCAGGCCTAGACAACAGAACGATTAGGGTTCTCAACCAAAGCCTTTGGTTCAAAAACTTGACCGCAAGGCAGCGGGTTTGGCGTTGGGCTACAAGGAGTCCGTTTTAAGGAATAAGGAGCCATCTCATTCCAACCCCCAACCTGGAGGACCAGGAGGCTGAGTTTATCTGACCTCTAATCATTGACCAATCTGGTATGAGTGGCTCTGAAGGTTCAAAAAAAGCCCCACCCAGCATAGCTCAATGGATCGCTGAGGCAGACAAACCATCGCAAAACTGTAAGGTTCAGCCTCATGTCTGACATTTCTTAGCATCCTCGTACATGGAAATGTTGCAGAGCAGCGTCATTCCGCAGCTACAGTCGGAAAGGTTAATGAATAACTTTCGGTGGCAACAGGATAGCGCACTGCACATTCAGTGCAATCGGTTAGTGCCTACCTGAAGGAGGCATTTGGTGGATATTGGATCGGTTGCGGAGAACCGCTAGAATGGCCTGCGGGATCACCGGATTTGAAGCTCACGGAATTCTTCCTATGGGGATACATTCGATTCATCCGTCTTGTCTTGGACATATATGGATTGGATTTTAAGTGAAAATCCATCTCATGTAGGTTGGGTTCTCCAGAATAGTCCGGCAGTAAGGGTAGATGTTCCAAGCATGTTCGTCAATTTCCAAGGAACTCTTTGGAGCCAGGACGCGTACGTAGACGAGAATTTTGTTGACCAGATGGAACCTTTTGTGTGTGTACTGGCCAGTTTCAAATGATTGTACCTGTGCGGTTAGTGGTGGAGAGGGCGTGTGATGTTCATCATCAAACGGTTCATTCGCCAACACTTCGATACCCTCACCACCACCGGTTTCGTTTTTGGAAGCCTCCGCCACAGACCACAGTTGACCAATGTTGTACTCATCCACAGTCATCGGCAGGATGATACGGCATGCAATACTATACACGGCATCAAAGGTGCCCTCGATTCAGTGCATCGATGTACCTTTTGGGACTGCATGCTCAGGAAGTGCCCGATAAGTATGTAAAGATCAGAGGGCCGTACGTGCATAACTTGGGCATAGTGAAGGCATTTGGCAAACTGCTGAAACCCTATACTGCGTCAAGCGGTGTGACTCACGCCCGCCACGTCACAGGGTTGTTTAACGGACATCTGTGGCTTTTTATAAGGAGAAGGCGTAGCAGGTGAAAACCCACCGTTTTGGAATACTGCCGCTGAACAGTTCTCTGGAACAGAGTAAACCCGAACCACCCAGCTGACAACACGAGGTAGTTCGGCAAGCCAGCTACACTTGAGCTCACTAGGTATCAGTGTCTCCGAGGTTGGAACGGAGTCGCGAGAAGGAATAATGTTTGCCGTGCTACTCGCAATAAGTAACATCATCATCATCATCATCATCAACAGCAGTACATCAGCCATGTGAACTGATGCTTCGCTGCCATACAACCATGAGGACCTATGAAATAAAGAATAAGAAGAGGGAGAGAAGGGGCGCTTACCTGAAAAACTTAATGCCCTAAGCAAACATTCAGGGTCAAGGCGCCTACACCTTGTGTAGACAACATACCGTCACAAACAGCTGGCTATCGTGCAAAGATAAGGCGGCATCGGCGAGACAGCTTCCTTGCGGCTTTCACTGCCACGCGTCATAATCAGCCATTACCCCGCAAATAACTCAGCACCAAACATACTTTAAACAGGCAATCCGATTAGGAGACGGCAGCAGACGCGCCACTGGTGTCTACTGCGAGCCATGTCCTGTAAAGTCTCGAGCCAAGCACAAGCCGAGTCACGTAGACTCCAGCCCGGAAGGCGAGACGGACCAACGGCACCCAGTTTGGTCGTCAGTGACTTCATTTCCCGCTGCCAAGTCAACTTCTGTCCACCTCGAGCCTTGTGCCACCCTACACCTGGCAGACTAAACAAGGCCCTCCTAGGTAAGCGGTGACCAGGCATACGTAGCACGTGCCCGAGCCAACGCAACTTATTCAGTGCTATCTGTTGTTCTAAGGAACTAGCATGCTTATCACTACCTAGTACTCGCCTACGCACATCATCGTTGCGCACACGCTGGTGCCATCCGACACCAGCAATGCTTCGCAGACAACGATGATCAAAGACTTGAAGGCGCCTCAGATCTTCAGACCGAAGGGGCCAAGTCTCACTACCATAGAGCAGAACGGCCCTCACTGTGGCCTTGTATACACGGCCTTTCAGACGGAGGGAAACTCCCTTCTGTCGCCAAAGATGACGCAGGTTCAAGAAGGCAGCTCTGGCCTTTGCAATGCGTGAGCTGACGTCAGTTTCTATGCGCCCATCATTGCTGATGCAGCTGCCAAGATAAGTGAAATGATCAACCACCTCGAGTTCCTCGTTAGCAAGCGTCAAGGGGTCATCAAGTGGCTGGTGGTCCTGCAGCAACACTTTGCACTTTGAAGGTGCGAAGTGCATACCAAATAATGGGACCACTCTGGACAGGCTATTCAGGGTTGATTGGGCCGCCCCAACATCGTCGAAAAGCAAGACGATATCGTCCGCATAATCAAGATCAACTAACCTTTCACCAGGCAGCACTTCAACGCCTACATCGTGAGATTCCGCAAGGGAACACTCCATGATAGAATCCATGACGAAATTGAACAAAAACGGGGAAATCGGACAACCCTGACGAACGCCACTTGTGGTCGGAAAGCTATCCGATAAGCCACCGTAGACCCTGACGCGGCCTGTAGTGTTCGAGTATAGAGCACGAAGGATGTTCACATATTTCGTGGGAACACCATTCCGCGCAAGTATTTCGAACAGAATCGATCGATCGACTGAATCGAACGCACTCTTGAAATCGAGGAACACAGCTATTGTCGATCTGCGGTATGCGTGGCGCTGCTCTAGCACCTGCCGCAAAGTGAATATATGGTCTATACAGCCACGCCCTGGGCGGAAACCGGCCTGCTCTTCCCTAATCCGAGATTCCCGTTCCGCAGTGAGGCGACGAACGATAATCGAGGCCAATAATTTTGTCACAACTGGCGTTAGGCTAATACCCCTGTGGTTAGAACAGTCTGTGCGACTGCCCTTCTTGTATATTGCCACTATAATCGATTCGCTTCAATTAGCCGGGACACTCTCTTCCTTCCAGATACATTCGAATAAGGAGGTCAGTGCTTTGCAGAGGACCTCACCTCCATCCTTAAATAGTGCAGGTGGGAGGGAATCCGGGCCAGCGGCACGAAAACGATTGAGGGCTGTGATCGCGTTTCGGACCTCGGCCTCCGACGGAGGCTCTAAACTAACCGTCCATGGCTCGTCCTGCATCACCTGAGTAGGAAGAGGTCCGGGAGCAGGGGGCCAGCTGAACTGATCTTGAAAGTGTTCCGCCCAACGAGCCATACGGCGCTCCTTATTGTGTATCAGCGCACCCGCGCTGTCTCTGATTGTCTCACTGACGCCTGGTTTTCTGGGACCAGTGGTGCGGATTAGCTGGAAGAGCTTGCGGTAATTGCCTACTGCTCCTGCCTCCTCCATTTCTTGAGCCCTACTGGTCCACCAGGCTTCCTTGTCAGCACGTAGGCTCTGCTTTAGTTCACGCTTAATAGCCCGTCTGGTCACACTGTGTTCAGAGCCAGCCGGGAGGTGTCTTCTAGATTCCAACAGGTTCACCGACCTCTCGGATATCCAGTGACTGGTGCGGTGACGATGGATAGTGCCACAAGCAGATGCTCCTGCGTCGTGCATGACGGCCGAGATCCTATTCCACTGAAGCTCAGTGTCATTAGGACAAGACAGCGAAAGTTCGGTACGCAGTGCTTCTTGATAGGCTTGCCTGACCGAGGACTGAGACAATTTCTCAGTTGCCAATCGTAGGGGACACTTGGTGCGCCTCCCGGTAAAGTTCATGGAGAAACGACAGCGTACCAAGGCATGATCAGAGTCGACACAGGTACTCCAGTATGAGCGGCAATCCAGGATGGAACCACGCCACCTGTAACTTATGGCTATGTGGTCAATTTGGGTCCATCGCTGGCCAGCTACAGGAGGACGCCAAGTGGCACTTCGGCGCCCACTGTGTCTAAAAGCAGTGCTACTAAGAAACAACTGGTGCTCCGCACACAGTTGCAGCAGACGCTCACCGTTGTCAGTCCGTTCGGAGTTAAGTCCACAATTACCACCCAGCTGAGCTTCTGAAGAGCTCAGACGCCCTACTTGTGCGTTCATATCCCCTGCAAGTACTATAATATCTGAACTAGTAGCACTGCGTAGTAGCGCGTTCAGTTCGTGATAGAATGTGTCCTTGACAGCATTAGAACTGCAGTCGGTGGGAGCATAAGCGGAAATCACAAACAAACAGCGTTTTGTACTACTTCGTGAATCCACCTTAGCTGATGTCGTCAAACGGGCTGCACATAAACGGCTGTTCACCGGAATCCAATCAACCAACGATGGCACAGCGTTGGAGCTTAGAATGATACCTACACCAGCTTGACCCGTGAGTGCTGCATCGGCGTCTCCGGATGCGTGCAACCAATAACGAGAGGATAAGCCGGGTGCAGTTAATTCAATAACCCCGTTAGGGTCATTGATCCTAGTTTCGGACACACAACACACATCAATACCCAGTGTGTCCAAGGTACGTGCGAGTGCAGCCTGTTGACCTGTTTGTCTTAGAGTGCGAACGTTGAATGTCGCCATGGAAACGGGATAGCGTGGCCTTATAAGGGACTTTTGCCGATAGGCGTCCGATAGGTGCGGTGGGATGGTGGCTGCAGATGGTTCTACTCCAGTGGCACTTCGGTTGCTGTCAATTAAGCTGGGAATTATAGAAGGAAGGTTAGTAATGGGGGTCGGGATGGGAGTAAGAGAAAAAGGTGGAAAAGAAAGAAGGGAGGCACCAGCAGTAGCATGTTTTTGCTTATCCGCCCTGCTGTATGCAGCAGATAAGGCGACCCTTGATAATCTGCGCGACGGCCGATGCAGGATGAAGTTTATGTTTGAAGAAAATGTCATGGTTGTATGTGGGCTGAGATACTGCCAGGGCGCCCAGACCTAGACAGGAGGACGATTAGGGTCCTCATCCAAAGCCTTTGGCTCAAAAGCCTGTCCGCAAGGCAGCGGGGAGATGGCAATGATTTAGTTTTACAGAAATGGACGCCATCCCATTTCAAACCCCCAACCTGGAGGACCAGGAGACTGAGTTTGTCTGACCTCTCACCATTGACCAACCTGGTAGGAGTAGCTCTCAAGGTGCCCGGAGGCATCACCCAGTATAGCTCAATGGGTCAATGAGGTACGCAAACCGTCGCACCACGTTAAGGTCCAGTCTCGTTGCGACGGAATAAGTAGCAGGGGTGGGTTTGGCATTGTTTCCCATGTGTGGGTCACAAAGCTGATCGGGATGGAACAAATCCTGAAACGCTTATTCTTCTCAGCGGCGTGGAAGGTGTCACAAGTGAAGCAGATAACCAAGAGGGATGCCCGTTGAAGTTCATACAAGTCGACTTCGACACTGTAGCAGGCAATACACAGCCAACTTTCACAGCTCGTTCACTGTAGGCTTTCGAGCGGGTGTTGACTCCTTTACAACAATCAAAACGTGTATATGTCATTTTTCTCTATCACTCACCTTGTTCTGTAAAGAAAGATGTTCAGACGGTTCGCTATCCGATTGGGCCGGACATCTATAATCACAATTTCATAAAACCACTGCCCCTAGTAAATTCGGTAATATAAACCAATTTGGTTTGTCGACGTTAGATCCCCCGATGGTAGCCTCCATCAATGACATGGGACGCTACTGTCACTAAAGTGAAACAAGGCACCAGATCTCTGTAGGTCTAGAAAGTAATCAAGCCCGAATATCAGAAGATATACGAAATCGGACACAGCAGACTATATTCAATGGACTACAAGAAGACGTAGACGAGTGAAGCGA